ACTGGGTTCTTTCGGTAACAAAGAAAAAGCTGAGAATTGCTGGGTTCTTTACATCGTTACCTTTTCTAACATATCTTTGTGATAAAAGACTAAAGCCATTAATACACTGCGTTCAATTATAGAGAAAAATAGCACAGATAGTACGGGTGTTGAGTAAATAAAATGATCGTTCTATTGACGGCATGTTTGTTTTTTGCAATCTTTGTGCACGCGCTGAATTGCATCAGCAAAAGCGCGCGCGAAAACTGTGTTCGGCCACCTTAACGGGTTTTTTACCACGTTGGTAATTCAGAATGGGAGGACAATAGGGACTGAAGAAGACCAATGTTGTCTCGTTTGACATAGCTAGCAAAGCCGCGCTATCAATCTCAGTATGAATACAGTTATCATACTCCAATGATGCATTTTTTTACCGTGAGCAAACTTCAGTTCGTGTTGTCAGAAAAATTGTTTTCTCGCGCGAGTAGTCTTCGTGGTAACTTTATCTGCACTCAGTTAACAATGTCATCAAACAATTGATTCGTACTTTTACATCATGGGGCCATGACACAAGTGGATGATTCACTTGGGAAGTTTGGAGAGCAAGAAACGAGCGTAAAAGGGTCCCTTGTTTCCAGCTCGAGCCACTTTTCCATCCAATCAGGATTTGAGCCAAAACCAATCGAGTCTCGCTCGCGCACGTTTTCCTGCGCTTTGCATCAGCTACATGGATCGTCTGTGTCTGTGTCAGATTTATTACTTTAGTTTTGGATTGACGACACTCAGTTCAAAACAACTCTAATGCACTGGTTGTACAATAAGACGACAAATAAGACTGATCGATACCTTACTTGATCATTTCCGTTATTCTCGTGACCTGTTCACTGGCAAAACATTTGACACTGTAAGGAGAAATTGACTGTTGATTGCTGTGTATTAGTCCTAGACTTACCATCCATCGTTGCAGGAACATATTCCACACATCAAAGAGCCTCTGTTACTACAAATGGTGCTATTGGCTTCCTAAAAGAACAGCGTAAACCGCGACTGCTGAGAGCAGCTTTTAAACAATCTTATAACAACAATCGAAGCAAACCCAAATAAAAGCAACTAGGTTAATCCCAAGCGCGCAATAAGACGTTAAGCAAATCCAATTCAAGATCGCTTTTGGTTTCTTCCTCTAGTTGAAATAACATAGAACAAAAATAAGAATAGCATTTTTTTTCTCAGTTTCGTCGCAAGACAGGGATGCGGCAAACGGAAAACAAGAAACACATATTCCTGAGGAGTGATTCTCAAGCTCATTAATAATTCATCAAGTTTAAACAAAGGAAATCATGACCGTAATGGCGTTTAAATATCTGATCTTAATTAGCATGGCGTTTCACGATTATATTTTTCCACTTTCTCCTTGGTTTTGGTTTCGATTGAGACCGATATATCAAACACTCAAGGCAGTGTTTGACCACATTTCCAAACACCTGGAAGTTCGTCATTTTCCACTCTCTTCTCGGTGTTTGGAGTGTGGTCAAACGTGGTCTTTCGTGTTTGATATATTACTTCAAACACGGCTTGTGCTCCTGTGTGCTCTTATTTACCGAGTGATAACGTCACTCAGCGCGTGAGGAAAATAAAAATGTCAGTCACATATAGCAAAATATTTTCTCATGTGTTCTTCAACTAAATACTTCTCTTTTGTTTCATACCAGTGTCAATAATCAACTTCCACTTTCACAGAAGGAGTTGTACACGCGTTCGTGATCAATTAATAAAGAACCTCACCATATTTTCTTTCTTCTCACATTCGCAGTCACAGATGTAAGAAAGCTTCAGGAAGACTTGTCCGTACGGAGTCTTGATAGAAAAACTACAAAATTAAAAGCGAAGAATGTAATATTTGTCACTTCCAAGAGCAATGTAAATACTAAAACTCCCAACCTACAGAGGTGGTTTCTTTTTGAAAACCATTTGAACATTGGAAGTATTTACTTTGTCGGTAGGTCGTCTGAACAATTGGTCATAGATACAGACACTCGAAAGGATACCTGAAATGATAAAAAGTATATTCTCAGTTAATCCTTAAGTGTTTTTCTTCTAAAAAGACATAAAATAACTGATGTAATCAAAAGTGGAAATAAATTATTTACTAATTGTCTAAACGGTAACATAGATCATAAGCGACCTTTACTTGAGCAAACTGCAATAGTAATAGAAACGAAGACGTCACCTAACAAAACTAAAGGCTTTAATGAGCAAAACGGGACAAACTGAAATAAACAGGACGGCTAAATTGGACTGACTGACTGACTGACTGACTGACTGACTGACTGACTGACTGAC